TTTTTCCCTGTACTCTTTTCTTCCAAGTAGCGAACGAGACCCTCCAGGGGCGTGGTCCCACTGGCAAAGAGGATCGGATCGAATGCCTGAATCGGGGCGAGGTTATGGAGATGTGCAGGAAATCGAGATTGAACTGCTCTTCTGCATCTGTGCATAAAACACGTCCAGATTCAGGAGCTGGATCCTATCCTTCTTGCTAGTGGGACCTCGGCCCAGAGGAGCAGAGGCGTCCGTCAGATGCTCATCTGCCCTGGGGTGAGGTCCCACTAGCAAAGAGGATTGGATTGAACGCCTGAATTGGCCGCGTTTGTGGACAAGTGCAGAACATCGAAATTGAACTCATTTTCTGCATCTCTGCTTAAAACACGCCCAGATTCAGGATCTTAATCGAATTCCTGTTGCTAGTGGGACCATTCTACGGGACTGGTCGCTGTATCACATCTGCCCGGGACTGGTCGCTATATCACGGCGGGGTGATCGCGTACTGAGCAGGAGTGTCGAGGTCTCCGCAGGCGCGGAGGTGGTGGATGTTGGGTCGCCTGTCAGCAGTCGGTCCTTGAGGATTCCAAGAGGAGGGTGTCTCCTCCTTGCCTGGACTGGATTCTCTCGTTCTCATCCTCTATTCTCCCGCGCTTGTGGAGATCGGCTGCGTATCTGTGTAACCCAGTTGCTTGTGGACTCTCCCTAACTCTCTTTTATAAGTTGCGTCGACGTTCTGACACCTGGCCGGACCTCAGCGAGGCGCTCAGTGCGTATTCTCTCCTCTCCTTTCCAGCTGCGATGGCTGCAAGTTGCTCAGGCGCCTTTGCAATGGCAGCCGCCACGACGACCCGTGAGGTTGGATTGACAGCATTGGCTGTCAGCGAATCGCGTATCCGGCGAGGCGATCGTCGAGTGGCCGCCCCGACGTCCCCGGACGTCCTCATGAAAGACAATCTTGCCACGTGGCGCATTTCTGGCAATCCGATCTCACCCAGGAATGCAACAACCATACTCCAGCGACCGTCGATCTCATCTACCCTTCCTTCCATCTCGTCCGTGGAGTCTGCGTTCAACGGAAGCGCCTGCGTGGTCTTCTCTCGTCGCTCGTGCACCTCTGCCCGTCGCCCGTCGAGGAACAACCCCCTGTCTCCTGGCTCAGGCGGGTTGACTGCCGGCGGCGTGACACGTGCCATCGCGACCGAATCTCGCGTCCCGGCGACCAATCAAGGGTCGGGACGCGTCAAGACCAGAGTCGGAATCAACGGCTTCGGTCGTATTGGAAGACTCGTGCTCCGAACGATCCTCCAGTCGGAATCCGACGGTGGGGACTCTTGCGAGTCTGACGTTGAGGTCGTGGAAGTCAACGATCCGTTCATCAGCGCTGACTACATGGCGTACATGTTGAAGTACGACTCAACCCACGGGCCGCTGGAGGGAGACGTCCGAGCTGTTGACGACAACACTCTGGTCGTCAACGGTCACCTCATCGGCGTGCATAACTGCCGCGACCCCGCCGAGATTCCGTGGGGGAGGCGGTACGGCGGCGGTCTGGACTTCGTCGTCGAGGCCACGGGAGTCTTCACGACCGTGGCGAAAGCCTCTGCGCATCTGCGCGCAGGGGCGCGGCGGGTGGTTATCACTGCGCCGTCGGCGGACGCGCCGATGTTTGTTGTTGGCGTCAACGAAGGGACCTACTCTCCGGACATGCGCGTCGTTTCGAACGCCAGCTGCACGACCAACTGCCTTGCGCCCATAGCCAAAGTGCTCAACGACGAGTTCGGGATCGAGGAGGGGTTGATGACGACAGTGCACGCAGCCACTGCGACGCAGAAGACGGTCGATGGACCCTCGTCCAAAGACTGGAGGGGCGGGCGAGGGGCGGGGCAGAACGTGATTCCTAGTTCCACAGGCGCGGCCAAGGCCGTTGGTAAAGTGCTTCCGGAACTTAATGGGAAGCTCACGGGGATGGCATTTCGTGTGCCCACGCCAGACGTATCGGTAGTCGATCTGACGGTGAGGTTGAAGTCTCCCGCTCCCTACGACTCGATCAAGAGAGCGATGAGAGCTGCGGCCGAGAGTGGACCTCTCAAGGGAATCCTCGGCTACACCGAGGATGCAGTTGTGTCCACAGATTTCGTAGGTGATAGCAGATCGAGTATTTTCGACGCCACTGCCGGCGTACCTCTGAACGATACGTTCGTTAAGGTCGTCGCTTGGTATGATAATGAGTGGGGATACAGTTGCCGCGTCGTAGATCTTATCAAGTACATTGCGGAGGTCTCCGCCCAGGCAGGTACAGGCGCGGAGGCGTTGGCCTGATTTCGTGAAAGCAGATCGCCGAGGTCGCTGCCCAGCCATGTTCAGGTGCGGCGGAGTCGTTGGTCTGATTTGACTTGGTAAATCATGTAAGTCCGTGCGGCTGCATAGCTACATATAGTGATCGCTGATCAGGTGGATATCGCTGGTTCGTGGCTACGGTTTTGGGGAGAGGCAGAGAAGAAACCACAGCCGGAGATTGTCCTTGGTGTCTACCATAGGGAGGGTTGCTGACGTTTTGCGTGTGGTACCCCCGCGATGAGTTCTGTTGTTGAGTGCACCTTACCTTTTTTATGCGCGACCATCTCTATGTAGTTTCCTGCATAAGCACGCTCGCACGTACGCTAGGACGCGACTAATTCTCTAGGCATTATCTTTATGAGCCTTTGTGACTCCTCTCTCTCTCTCTCTCTCTCTCTCTCTCTCTCTCTCT